GGGAAGCCCAAAAGAAAGGTTCTTGCCTCTCACACTCTATCCCATTGTTTTTGGGGGCTTTTAAAATTTACTTATTTTTTATTGAAGGATAATTGCTCTACAGAATTTTGCTATTTTCTGTCAAGTGAAGTGAAGTGAAGTTGCTCAGTCGTGTCCGACTCTCTGCGACTCCATGGACTGTAGCCTACCAGGCTTCTCCATCCATGTGATTTTCCAGGCAAGAGTACTGGAGTGGGTTGTCATTTCCTTCTCCAGGAGATCCTCCCGACTGAGGGATTGAACCCGGGTCTCTTGCGTTGTAGGCAGACGCTTTACCGTCTGAGCCACAAGGGAAGTCAAACCACAACATAAATCAGCCATAGGTAAATCCCATTGTTAGCTGTGATGAGTACAAGTGTTTCTATAACTTTTGGTTTCTTGCCCCCACCACTACAATTTTTAGACTCTTTTCTGTCTAAAAAAATCAAAACAAATGGCATAGGTTAAAGAAAAACAGCAGTTACTTAAACCTATTAAAATTATTTTTGGTCAAAGAAACAGAGAAAAGATACCCAAAAGAACAACTAGAAAATGTCTACTGGGTCAAATAACAAAGCATTCCCTTCTCCCCCTCTACTCTACCACCCCCTTAGAGACACATTGTATCAGAATGCTAATCTCAATAAATATCAGCAGGAAGGGACATTCTGGAGAGAGCAAGTCAATTTTATACCCCTAACAAGATGCAACTTTCTAAATAAAGAGGGATTTCAAACTCTAACTCATTAGCATCTCTTCTCAATAAGAGACCTCATCTTGTCAACTGGACTTGATGACTTGCCTGGAAACCAGTGGTTCTCACACTCTGAGCCTGAATCAGGATCACCTGGAGAGCCTGTCCAAACACAGACTCCTGGCCCCATCCCCAGAGTCTGATTCAGTAGGTCTGTGCAAGGATCTAAAAATATGCATTTCAACCAAGTTCCCAGGTGATGCCAACGCTGCTAATCTGGGGACCACACACTTTGAAAAACCACTGCTCTAAACCTTCCAGACACTTGCAGTTTCTCCTGGATTTTCCTCCTGAGGTCTCAACAGGGGCCTTGGCAGAAAACGACAAATTTGGGAGACCTAACTTATGCTTCAACTGCTAAATTGCTCTTTGAAATACTGTATCTGAGGTAAACCAGTTCAAAGGTAAAAACAAAGTTCAAAGGAATGCAGTGCTGAGCGGTGCCTCTGCAGCTTAGAACTCCCCGTTTCCCAGTTCACACAAACAGCCAGGAGTGTGCCCTGCCGCTTAGAACTCCCCCTCCTTTCCCAGTTCACACAAACAGCCAGGAGTGTGCCCTGCCGCAGGCCTGTGTAACTCAAGAGTGTGCGGGGTTGAGGCCCCCAGGCACTTTATTTAGTGGAGCTTTTCCCCCGCAAAGTGCAGGCAGTGCTTCATGGTGGTCTCTGAAAAAGTCCATTTGTTCTCAATCCTCTTCACAGTATGAAAAACAAGGAAAATCCTGACATGTTCAAATTCACCAAATCTTGGCCTCATAGTTTTTGAGAACTGGCCTACACATGGCTCCCCAGATTCTTGGCTAAAGGGGAGGATGGAGTGATATCCATGGAGTCTCAAAATGCCTTATTTTAGCTGGTTTTCCAACTCCTACCTGTCAAGCCTTTTACATGTAATTAGTGCTCGTTTCGGTAGCACATATATTAAAATTACATGTAAATTATTCAGTTCAGTTCAGTTGCTCAGTCATGTCCGACTCTTTGCAACCCCATGAACTGCAGCACACCAGGCCTCCCTGTCCATCACCAACTCCCAGAGTCCACCCAAACCTATGTCCATTGAGTTGGTGATGCCATCCAACCATCTCATCCTCTGTTGTCCTCTTCTCCTCCTGCCCTCAATCTTTCCCAGCAACGGGGTCTTTAAATTATTAAGAGTAACAAAATCATTTCCGTATTAACTTTTAATGTTTTAATATTCATCTAATGTCCAGTAGTAATGGCAATGAAATGAAACAACAGGGAAGATAATGGTCAGAGGGTACAAACAAACCAAAAACTCATCTCTCAAGAAAGAAAAAATGGCCAAACAGAGTAATTAAAAGCAGTGTTTGCCTTTAACATCAGAAATGTATTGAATTGTGCTCACTATTAAAAGTAAAGATGTTAATTATACACATGGTTCCTGCCATCTTGGAGCTTGATTTACTCTTGCAAGGAAGACCAACAAAATGGTAAATAAAAGTGTGTCTTATGTAAGAGTGAACTAGGCAAAGCAGCAGAAGAAATGAGGTGCATAGGAGGAGTGCATCCAAGTGTTCCCATGTGACTCAACCACACGAAGCGTGTGTGTGCTCAGTCAGGCTCAGCACGTTGTGACCCCATGGACAGTAGCCCACTAGGATCCTCTGTGCATGGGATTCTCTAGGCAAGAAGAATACTACAGCCAGTTGCCATTTCCTTCTCTGCGGGGTCTTCCCAACACAGGGATCAAACCTGCATCTCTTGCATCTCCGGCACTGACAGGCAGGTTCTTTACCACCTGCGTCACCAGGGAAGTACATCAAAGAAGCAAGGTGGGGAAAGAAGCTGGCAAGGTAGGCGGGGACCAGAACACAAAGCTGTGTGTAAGGTAATGGGAAGCAGGAAGGTTACATGGCTGGAGCGTGCATCCTGAAAGAACACTCCCTGCAGTGCAGGAGCCCCCCTGCAGGGGGCGCCAGTCAGGAGCCAAGTGCTGCTGCGCAGGATGAACGGTCAGGACGGAGGGAGAGGGCTGGAGAAAACCCGTCCAGTGTTTGCTCAATACAGCTCTTAGCTGTCTGACACGCAGTCACTTAATTTATAGGGACCTCAGCTTCGCCGTTTGTAAAGTGGGATTCGAATCTTCCCTTTGTGCCTCTTAAAAGTTACTATGGGGATCAAAAAGCCATGTACCTGAATGACCCTGTTGTATATACTATACATTAAAATTTACATCACAGTGGGTATAACAAGCAGTAAAAGAATGTCTATATTAGAACAAGGGGAATTCATCAAGCTTGTTGGAAAAAATCAAGTACAGTTCTAGCCATGAACAACTGTAACAAAATGCAACTTTTAAAAGGATACAATATTCTCCAAAGAAGACATACAGATGGCTAACAAACAAATGAAAAGATGCTCAACATCATTCATTATCAGAGAAATGCAAATCAAAACCACAGTGAGGTACCATTACACGCCAGTCAGGATGGCTGCTATCCAAAAGTCTACAAGCAATAAATGCATGTATGCATGAGACAAGTGCTTGGGCCTGGTGCACTGGGAAGACCCAGAGGGATCGGGTGGAGAGGGAGGTGGGAGGGGGGATCGGGATGGGGAATGCATGTAAATCCATGGTTGGTTCATGTCAATGTATGACAGGACCCACTACAATATTGTAGAGTGATTGGCCTCCAACTAATAAAAATAAATGAAAAAAAAAGGATACAATAAAACCTGGTTGTCTAGAAATATTGATAAATCTAAGAAAAGATGTGCAAGAACTTTCATGGAGAAAACTTAAAAACCTAAATAAATTTAGAAAAATATTGTGCTCAAGAGCAGAACTGTCAATTCTTCCCCAAATGAAATCAATGAAATTCTAATAAAACTTCCTAAGGATTTTTCACAGGCCTTGACAAGGTAACCCTAAAGTGTGTAATACTGAAATCACAAAACCATGATGTTGAATGAATACACCAAGTTGTAAAAGGATACTCTAATATCACTATACAATACCTTTAAATACACAAAATAACATACTGTCTGTTGAATGACATACATACTGTCAAGGATTCATACATATAAAACAACAGTAAAAAGCATGCCTGGGAATGATGTTCATCAAATCTAACCATCAAATTCAGAACAGTAGTTACTGAAGGCAACTGGGTGGTGGATACAAAGATGTTTATTATTCCCTTTTTAAATGTCATAAATATTAGAAACCATAAGAAAACAGAATGCCTTTTATTTGACAACCAGGTTATTATGGGATGTAGCACAGTCCCCAAACACCAATCCAATAGCCCCCATCAACACTACCTGGCGTACATGTTAAACATGGATCAAAAAAAAAATACGGATCACTGGGCTCTGCCAGAATCAGAATTTCTGGAAGGGAGCCACATGAATCTAATGCATAGCCTCATTGGGAACCCCTGGTAACCATTAGCTATTAATAACTAATCCATCAACAAATTTGATTCCAATCTGACACTGAGATATTTAAGTGCCCGAGATTGCCTAATCACTTTCCAACTGATGCCACTGTCTAGAATTCGGACTCTAATTTAAGTCAAAACCAAGTAAATGTTAAAAGTATATCCTTTATTATGCTTCCTTCACCCCCTCCAAGGTCACACATGTAAAAACTAGGAGTATCTCATATAAAGTAATAGTATCAAATGATTCCACAGCAGAACATAATTCCTTCATATCCTCCACAGGGAGTATGCCATAGCCAAAATTCTACTGGAGATGATAAAAAGTGCTATTTTTAAGGATAAAGTGATATAAGTCACTGGCAACCACCCTCAAGTATGCAGACAGCAACACCATGCTTTTCTCCTGATTTTCTTCCCTTGCAATAAAATCATAGCTAACTTTGTCTCAAGAAATGCATAGAACCAAAGGGAAACATAAAGAATAAATTTAGCAAGAAAACAATTTATGAAAAGGTAGAGGTATCAATACCTCCATGACAGTTTTCACAGCCCTGCTCCTAAGAATCTTGCCTGGAGAATCCCAGGGACAGCGGAGCCTGGTGGGCTGCCGTCTACGGGGTTGCACAGAGTCGGACACGACTGAAGCGACTTAGCAGCAGCAGCTCCTAAGAAATAAAGTTAACTAGAAGTTGTGCTGTCAGAACATATGACCCTTCCAAGGACTGACACATGACTTTCCCCCTAACAAAAAAACATGGAAAGGGATGATTTCGAGAAATGACACAAATCTGCTCAACGCATCTACAGGAAGGACTCACTTACCAGGGCTTTCTACGCGCTTATAGTGGTAGGGGTTGATGCACACCTCCTTCTGCTTGGAGCCGAAGGGAAACTCGCAGCATTCCAGGGGCTTCAGTTCATGGTGGCTCTGCAGGTCGGGCCAGCGCCACACGCGGCAGTAGATGACATGCGGCAGCCCCTTCCGGTGGGAGACCTGCAGCCTGCCGTCCAGGGAGCGGGGAATGGTGACGCAGTTACTGGGCTGGCCCGGGCAGCTCAAGGCCTTTTCCAGTTCCTCCATGGCACCCTTCTTCTTCTTCAGTTTTTTCACCAGGGCATCAACGGCTTTCTCTGCCCACTTTTCTTCCTCATCACCCTGTTTCCAGCCAAGAAGTCTCTTCACAGCTGGACTTGTGAAGGAAAATAAACTTGTCACGTTCATGATGGTGCTGCGTACAACTCCTTGTGCAGGGAGAAATGCAGATGTCCCCAAACGTGAAAGGACAGAGAGGCCTCACTTTATCTACATAAGATTCTCCTTAGCTTCTGCGTGCCGAGGTCCTGCAAAGCAGAAATGACCATTCCTGGTGTTTCCAAAAGGAATGCAAAGTGAGCACCTGGAAAAGAAAAAAAGGGGGAAAAGATGTTTCAAATCGTCTCTACCACAAAATCACAATTTATTAAACAATTTCCATGGACCAGGTACTATTTTAAGTGCTTTTATGTATTACAGTGTGCTATGGACTGAATTATGCACCCCCCCAGCCCAAACTCATATTGAAGCCTCAGTGTGACTGTATTTGAAGATGGAACCTGGAGCCTTCAAGGAAGTAATTCAGGTCTAATGTGGTCATGAGGATAGGGTCCCAACCTGAGAGGATTAGTGGCCTCATAAGAAGAAGGGAGAGATTTCTCCCCTGCCCTACGTGTGCATCCATGAGGAAAGGCCACCTGCAGACACAGAGAGAAGGCTGCTGCCTACAAGCCTGGAAGATAGCTCTCACCAGAAACCACCCTGGCTGGACCCTTCATCTTGGACTTCACAGACTCCAGAACTGTAAGAAATACATTTCTATTGTTTAAGCCACTCCGTCAGTGGTATTTTGTTATGGCAGCAGACTAGCACAGTATTTTAATCCTTTAAATAATTATTTCCACTAGGTAGTACAATCATTGCAATTTTATAGATGAATAAACTGAGACGCAATTTAAAAAGAAGTATGCTACTGTTTATATGAGTTATGAGGTAGAAGCAATATACCCCTTAGTGCAAAAAAAGTTCAAGTTCTCAACAGATACTGTGATATTTTATATTTAGAGTCACTCATGGGCTCTAAAATATTTATTTCGAAACACACCTCAATCAACAAAAATTAAAAGCAACAGGAAAAACTAAAAACACAAGTCTTAACATCTGTTTTTGGTTTGCTCAAGTATCTCATGCTAAAAGAAAAGGTAGTTAGTTATATTTATACTAGATAAATGTAGCAACATTTTAGGGTCTTTATTCAGTAAATAAATCTATGCCTTTGGACTGTTAATTCACTCCCTGCTTCTTCAAATATGCTTTTTACTGACGTGAAATGAATGAAGCACATGAACACATACTGTACCAAATACTTTAGTCAAGTTGTTTCATTTAAACCTTCTAGTTACTCTTCACAAGATAAAAACACAAATGGTTAAAAAGATTAAAGATGATAACTTTGCACCAACTCCAGCTAAGATTGACTAGCAGGTATCAAAACAATCTCCTCCCCAAAACAACTACAAAAGTTGAATAAAATACAAATGAATAAATCAAGGTGGGGGGGAAAGTCCAACTTTTTAAAGTTATCAATGAGCAATCAAAGTACTAAGGACATCAGGGGCCACATCTGGAAAGATGTGAAAAATGATGAAGTGATAAGCTGAACAATCTTCACTGCTTTTCTTCTCAAGGCATTTGCCAAAGCTACGTTGTAAGAAGCCAAGACAAAAGAAGCTAAAGGACCAAGCAGAGATTTCAGGAGTCTCATGGTGTTGAGGAGAACCCCCCCGCCAAAAAAAAAAACAGCATTGAGGGCCTGCCAAGAAGGAGAAACTGGTTTCCCGTTGAGACCCTTGAAGAGGCATGCCCTAGTGCAAGGGCTAAACTGAAATGGACAGTGTTTAGAAACACAGCCTAGAATCTTAATGCTAGACTAGATCAAGATGAAAGGAAAGGAGGAGAAAAAAACTGTGAGAGAGGATGTATGTATATTGAAAGTTACTGGCCAAAGACTTTCCAAAACTGCCAAAAGACATCTAGCCACAGATTCATGAAGCCCTACAAATCCCAAGAAGGAGAAATAGAAAGAAATACACAAGTTTTAATGTGTCATATCATGGTATAATTGCTGAAAACCTACAACAAAAATCTTTAAAAAGACAGAATACTTTCAAATGAGTACAATAAGAATAACAGCTGACATTTCAACAGTAACAATGAAAACAAAATGATAGTAAAATGATATCTTTAGCATGCCAAATACAATAAATAGCTGGTAACTCAGAACGCTATACTTAGTGGGAAAAAATCATTCAAAAATGACTGAAATAAAAATGCTTTATAACAAACAAAATCTGAAATAACTGGCTTCCAGGAGGAATTCTCAAGCACAAGGGAAAAGCAAGAAACTGCAGGAAAGAATGAAGAGTTCCATAAGGGTACAGACTTTACAAAACAATTACAGGAATATCTCGTGGTGTTTAAAATACAGAATTAAAATGCATAACAAAAAAGCAGAAGGGATAAATGAATTCAGAGTTCTAAGGTCCTTATACTACCGAGGCCATGCTAAAGCATTAAATTATTATTGATATAAATCATGAATTCATGTCATAATAAACCAACCACTGAAAGAATAATTTAAAAGTGATAAAAAGGTAATAGAGGAGTTAAAAATATGGAATTCTATTAAAAAATATGATTAGCCAAAAAAACTTCAGAACAAAAAGGAGTACATAATAGGTGAGTCAAATAGAAAACAGTAAGATTCAGATATAATCCTCAAAGTCTCGAGAATTACTTACAAATCAAGAGACTAAATAAGCCAAATGAAAACATACAGTGTACTTACAAGAGACACACATCAAATATAAGGACAGAGAAAAGTTGAAAGAAAAAGAATGGAAAGAACTGTACTGTGCATATTCTAACCAAAAAAGTTCACATAGCTATCAAATCAGACAAAAGAGACTTCAAAGAAGTATCACCAAGGATAAAAGAGGGACATTTCATAATGTTAAAAGAGGTGCTCTACCATGAACATATCACAATCCTAATTTTTTATCCAAGCAGTAACGGTTTCAAAATACATAAAGTAGAAACTGACATAATTAAAATGACAAACAGTCTTAGCGGGAGATCAACAGAGTAAATGACAAAACAAGCAAATAAAAATTGACAGATATAGGAGACTGTATATTTAAAGACTTGACTCAATTCACGTATGCCTCCAGCAACTGCAGCGTACATAGTACTTTAAAAAACACATGGAATACTTATCCAAATTGACCATATAATGGGCCGTTAAGCAAATCTCGACAAATGTCAAAGGAATAAAACTACACAGAATTCGCCCTTTGATCATAGTACAACTAAGAATAAATATTGTTATTGAAAATAATTACACTTTTAAATAACCTGTGAGTCAAAGAAGAAAATATAGGGGAAATTAGAAAGTATTTTAAATGGCATAATTATAAAAATCTGACACATCAAACTTGTAGGATGTGGCTCAATCCATGCTCATCCAGGGAAATATATAATCTTAAGTGCATATATTAGAAAAGAAAAGCAGCTGAAAACTAATTTTCTATGTATCTACCAAGGGGCTCAGCTGTTCCCTTCTGTAAAGAGTTTTACTCAGATTTACCAATCCTTTGAAAGTGGCATTATTTATGCCTAACAATAAGAGAAAATAAAAGACTAAGCTAGCATCAAGACTCACACTTGGTCAGGGTGTACCTCCTGAAACGATTATTTACTGTTGCTAAAGGTTAACTGTACAAAAGAACAAGAAAGACAACTTTTTTTTTCTTGTCCTCTAGTAACAATTTATCAACGGAATACATTTCTTCTTATCCTGTATGTTCTTTTCTTCAACTCCAAAAACTGCATTTTTTTATTTCAGTCGACGGTTTTCAAATTGAGGGGGTGACTTTCTACCAAAATCACCTGGGGCTATTTTAAACTCTAGAGCTGATGGATTTGTCCCAGAAGGTGTGTGTGGGGGGGGGGGNGGGGGGGGGGGGGAGTTGGGGAGACTGAGGACCACAATTTCAGACCTTTGCTTTAACTACTCAAATGGACATTCATTCACCGAAGTTGCACTGCGCCCTGTTGAGAACTGAAGCCACCCCTCTGAGGCCGGAGACGGAGACGGCTCCACCTGAAGAGCCAGGGTGTCCACAGAGAGCTCACCGGAGGCAGACGGGCTCCCCGCACGCCAAGTTCAAGGACTGCGCGGAGCAGGTCTCAGCGGGAATGGCGTTCCCGAGTGGACCAAGGCGAACTCTGAGCGCAGGAACGGGAGAGGCGGCCCCTGGACGCGCGTGTGCCAACCGTGAGCCAACCACAACGCTGTGCCACAAAAGCTCTACGGCGGGCAAAAACGCCGCATGACAATATGTAAAAGCAGAAAAGGAGAGAAGAAAAGGAAGGCACAATTAATTCCAGGGATTTCAGGAAGCTTTCCCAAAGAGGAAATATCATTACAGGATGAGCAGAATTTTGCAAAACAATACAACTAGTATTTGGCGTGATCGCTACAGGAGAGACACTGCTCCCTTTATTACCGAGTTTAAACTTGGTGACAACCCCTCCTGAGTGAGCGTTTTGTTTTCCTTACTATACAGGTGAGGAGAGTGAAATACAGAAAAGTTAATTAGCTTGTCCAAGGTTTATGCGCACGGTTGTAAGTGGTGGGGCCAGAGGGGGAACCCATGTTTCTGGCTCTAGAGGCTCAATTTTTTAAACCACTTTTCTAAATAGCTAGTTCTAACAGACATCAGGGAAATGCTAGGGTTCAAGGTTGATGTAGATGATACAAGGCTGATAAGGGCAGGGCAAGACTGTGAAGGACCTGTGGTACCTATTATCCTGTGGACAAATGGAAGGTTTTAAATCAGAGCATCACTGTGATTAGATTCATCTTTTAGAAAGACAGCTAAGGTGATATCCTCAATATAGAAGGCTTCTCCACCCAGGGAACAAAAACAACATCAAAAAACTGAATCACAACATTGTTAACCAGTTCAGTTCAGCTCAGTCACTCAGTCGTGTCTGAGTCTGCAACCCCATGAACTGCAGCACGCCAGGCCTCCCTGTAAAGTAAAAACAACAACAACAACAAAATAATAATAATGTCTCCAAACACTGTTAGGGCCAATTGCGGGGGGTGTGAGGGGTTGATGCCACTAAAAATATTAAAATGAGAAGATGATCACAAACTCTTGCATATAAATGTGCCTATGAAACAAAACACAGGTTGATCACTGATTTTTGCCTCCTTGGGTTAAGCATTTTTTTTATATTCAAGTTGAACAAGTAACCCACCTCCCATCAGGAACTCAAGAGTCCATGACACGATGGCCTTGGCAAGACAACTCATTTTTTTCTGCCCCTTTTGGTACTTCCTGCTTTAGTTTATGTCAAGAGCTAAGTGGCCTTATCAGTTTAAAGTGCAAAATAAAAACATGAGTCAGCAAACAGAGATTTCCTTCCCTCTTCTCCAAATACAAACATTTCACACTGACAAAGATGAAAAAGCACTCAACTGGTAAAGAACCCCCAAGAAGTCTTTAAAAAAAGGCAAGATTTGTTCCAGTAGCTTCACTTCTAGAAATTTACACTAAGGAAATATTCTGCACTGAAAACGTAAAACTGTTTTTGCACAATGATTTTCATCAGAGTATTCTTTACTGTAAGGAAAAAAATAAATATCTAAAAATTGGAAAATAGTTAAGGAAGCTGTAGTATAGCCCATCCAAAAGAGTATTATGTAGTCCTTAAAAATTATTTTCATAAAAATGATAACTTGGAAAAAACCTTAAGCAGAACATAAAATTGTGTATATAGCTTGAACAACTATATAAATATATCAAAGTATTAACAGTGTCTGGGTCTGGAAGGTTAGGTCCCTCTCATTCCTACTTGTTAAAACTTGTCAAACATTCTTTAATGAAAATCTGTAACTTTAAAAAATTTAAAAAGCCTCTATAAACAAATATTTGCAAATGACAAAAAAAAAAAACCACCTCAATTCATTAATTCAAGCCACATACAAAGTCTACTTATAAATCAGATTAGACTTACAGTGTGACCCAATTTGAGATGTAATAAAAATGCAGTTTAAGACAGGGTTCTAAAGTCAGTACCTTTCCCTATGGAGTCTCACTCATGGAAAGGATTTCTGTTACCACTATCAGAGCCAAATGCGAAAAATACTCTTATAATGCTCCTTTTGACATGGCTATTGAATTCTGCAACTTATGTGGTATTTCTAAACGTTAAAAGAAAAAAAGCAAAAAGCTGTAAAATACCTTTAACTGCTGTGTGTGAACTTGCTCTCTATTGAAAGGAACCCTCATGAGCCAATTGCACACGGGGCATTTTCTTCATCTCTGCCTCATCTAGTAAAGAAACATGTAATTATCCAACTGTGTGAATATCAACAAAACACACTCTCTGCCAGGCAATGCCTCAGATCCCAGATTCCCACTGAAAGTCTCAAAAGAAAATTATTCTAATCTGCATCAGAAGATATGATAAAAAGACATGGGGGTGGGGTGGGGTGGGGTGGGGGTTCCCAAGCACTACAAATCAAGGAAAGCAGGAGAAGGGGGACAGAGGATGGCCAGTCGCCCTCTGCAGCTTCAGACTAGTGATGTTGCAATTCGTGCACTGGCTGGAATTCAGTGAACTAGACAAAATAAATGATCCCTTTAAATACTGAAGAATAACTAAATTATTCAACAGAATCAGCATAAAATACAGGCTCCAAAAGCTACTGGGGGAGAAGTATCAAAGACTCCTGCCAGGTGCCTTAAAAAAAGTAGATAAATGGTCTATTGTCAGTGAAGCAAGTGACTCACCCCAGCCCCCAACTTCTTGTTCTTTGGTTCATTACTGTCTTAACTCTAACGGTAAAACATCAAGGCATAAAGATCAAAAGAATCAAGGAACTAAAAGTATGGGATATTGATTAACTTCGCTTTGGAACTGTTTAACCGTTGGGTAAGTTACTTGAGAAAGAGGACAACTTTGTAAAGACTGTATTTCTACGAAAAAGTCCAATCCATTTTGCTGGAGAAAGTATTTCCAGCATGCATAAAATGTATGTGTATTTCCTGACATATACCACCAGCTCTTCTTAAACTGATGAGCTTGTGCTGCGGCTAAGTCGCTTCAGTCGTGTCCAACTCTGTGCGACCCCATAGACGGCAGCCCACCAGGCTCCCCTGTCCATGGTATTTTCCACGCTAGAACACTGGAGTGGGTTGCCATTGCCTTTTCCGGATGCCCTTGTGAAGAAACAGAAAGACTCCAGTTCTCAAAGAGCTACCGTGGAGCTTTTGAGAAATCATAAGCAAACTATATGATTCCTGTAGTCTAGTAGTTGTCAAGTCTAAATTATTTCACCACACACCTCACTAGAACGCCATGGAAACGGGAAGTCCCTCAGAGGTGTACTGCATAAAGTGACTGGCAGCAATATTAATTAGTACTGTGGAAAGGTGTCTCTACCCTAACATCCAATTTAAGATAGAATTCAAGGCCTGATGAGAACTCTTACCTCCCCTGAGATGCTTGAATTAAAACATCAAAAAGGGTCAAAAAGTGAACATACCAGGAAATCTGTAATATAACTTTTTATCACTCCAAAATGGACTATTTTTTCTTTTTTAACCTGCTTTATTTCATTTACTAATGTCAACCACATACTCCTGCTCAGTTGCGTCTGGCTCTTTGTGACCCCATAGGACTCCATGGGATTTTCCAGGCAGGAACACTGGAGTGAGTTGCCATTTCCTTCTCCATATATACTCCTAACCAAGAGTAGATGCCTCAAAACAAATCATGATTCCCAAGAAGGATAAAACAGACACCCAAACATTCCTGACACTCATAGAAACCACAGAATCACAGACGAGACACTACAGATTTGGGTTGAAAATGCCTAAAAAGATGAAGACCCTCAAAGAAAAAATATTCCAGAGACTCAATGCTAGAATATATTTTAAAACAGAAAGAGCAACCCATTTAAGCCAAGAATCCAAGAACTGCCATGAGCTTTCCTGGGAAGAGTACAACGGCGAATTCACAGAAAGAAGGGGAGAACCATACCAAACAGGCTACAGAATTAATGAGAAGTTATGAAGAACTGGGAAACTACCAAGCTTTGGATAAAGCTAAAATACCTATTACTTAAAAGCAGAACCAAGGACAACCCAAAGACTGCCTGAATAGGAAGGCTGAAGCCACACATGCTCACATTTCCAGCTGGAAAACCAACCCTAGGAAGCGTACCAAGGAAAACCAGTAGTGAAGACAGGCAGAGAGAGTACCCTGGAAACACACAGGACACAACAGGAATGGTACCAACTCCAAACAGCTCTGCATAAAAGCACCATAGATTATTGATCACACAGTTCCTTAAGGAAAATGCTACACCATTATCCACTATCAAGGCAAACAGGGGCGGAAAAGAAAAGTTAAAATTGCTACACAAGTACAATGCCATCCCAATGAGGAAAAAAAAGAGAGAGAGAGAGAGAAGGGTTTTCTCTAGCTATCTCAGTCTCAGAAAAGACCCCAAAGTAAAAAATCGTCTATGATTTGATTTCAACAAATCATCTGTTCAAATGTTTCCTTTTCCCGGTTACTCCAACTAGGACTCACTTTTGAGATACTTGTCCTGTAGGAGAAAATAGGTGAAGACCCTCTGCATTTCTTTTTCTTATATCAAACAAGCGGCAGTTAGCCCTCAACTTCCATTCAACATTTCCTAATTCCAAACAGGTCAAACACAGCTAAATAAAGCTTGCCACTAATCAAAATGAAGGGGAAAAAAAATCCTAGAAGAAGAAAGTGCAGATGATTAAAATCTCTATCTTTTTGACAGACTTGAAGGCACTTTTAAATTTCTTTGCTCAGAAGTTGGGCTAAAAGGAACTCTACTTTGACTGAGTCCTTAGGGGGGAAATATATATACGTGTGTGTATATATATATACACATGTATATATATATAAGCTATAAATATACATATTTATAGCTCCTATACAAGAAAGTAATATGAACATCCACTGTAGACCACAGAGGAATTCTGCTGGTCTTGGAACAGCAGCAATGTCCTGTTGACACAAACACCCAGAAAAGTGAAAGTTGCTCAGTCGTGTCCGACTCTTTGCGACCCCATGGACTATACAGTCCATGGAATTCTCCAGGCCAGAATACCAGAGTTGGTAGCCTTTCCCTTCTCCAGGGGATCTTTCAAACTCAGGTCTCCTGCATTGCAGGCAGACTCTTTACCAGCTGAGACACCAGGAAAGCCCAAACACCCAGAAGACAGATTTAACTTTCCTGAGTTTCTTACTATTAAGCCTGTTTCAGTTACTTCCAAACCTCTCCCCACTTTCTAAATGTGAGATTGATGACAAAGAATAGCTAGTCTGCCTCTTTTTCATTAAAATTTTTTTTCAGAGATTAATTTTCCAAATCTGGAGAAACTAGGGGGTGAAGGTGGAAGAAAGGACCAGCTCTTGAAAGCTAATTTTCATCATGCAATCATGCAGGTACCAGTGCCTTTAAAATACAGGCACCAACAGCCTCTCTTCCAGCCTCTTAGGTGTGATCTGAGGGACAAGCCAGCCAGAGTTGCCGAGATGTGGTCTCTCTCAACGGAGTGTGAAGTGAGCGGGAATCGTAGGAATCAAAAAGAAAAGGACGAGTTTGCCACCTGCCACTTGGAAGTTCACTGCAAGCTGTAATATATCAGCCAAATGATTTCAAAATCACCATCCTCTCAATGAAAAGGAATCAAGGATTTATGGATGTCACACTTAGATGTGTCTCTAATGATAGTGCTGTAGTTTATATTTTCAATTGGGCTAAGTACGCTATTCAATATGTGTTCATTTTGTTGGAAAATTCTTCAAGACAAGAACTCTTTCTGGTTCTGCTCAGCATACACAAGTCCTTCCATCCTGACAAATTCAGGCTGCTGA